CCTGTAATTCCAGCTACTTGGAAGGCTGAGGGGGAAGGATCGCCGGAGCCCAGAAGGTCAAGGCTGCGGTGGCCGGGAGCAGCCACTGCACTCCAGTCTGGGCAACAGAGTGAGACTCCAACTCAAAAAAAAAAAAAAAATTAGCCGGGCGTGGTAGCATGCGCCTGTAGTTCCAGTTACTTGGAAGGCTGAGGTGGAAGGATCATCGGAGCCCAGCAGGTCAAGGCTGCGGTGGCCATGAGCGTGCAATGAAGTGAGACTCCAAGAGGAAGGAAAAAAAATAAAATGGTCAGGAATGGTGGCATATACCTGTAGTCCTAGCTACTCCAAAGAATCCCGAGTCCAGGAGGTCAAGTCAAGGCTATGGTGAGCCATGACTGTGTCACTGCACTCCAGCCAGAATCCCATCCCACCTTCAACTCAAAACACAAGTGGTCAAAGAAACAAGCATTTGCTCCTTACCTTTAGATTTTTAGAGAATGCCTCATAGAACTTCTTGTAATTCTCCTTGTCTTCAGCCAGCTCAGAGAAGAGCTCAAGGCACTTCTTAACAATGTTTTTGCGAATGACTTTCAAGATTTTGCTCTGCTGGAGCATCTCTCTAGAGATGTTCAGGGGTAGATCCTCAGAATCAACAACACCACGGATGAAGTCTGCCAACAACCAGTATAGAAAGCTCAGGAAAAACAGCTAGACCAAACCTGCTCACCTAGATTCAAGCACAAGGCTCTACTGTCCTCCCCTGAACCTTTACTTTCTATATTGCACACAGCTGTTAATCACCTACATATAGACTTTAGGCCCAGTACAGTTGCAGAAGGTCACCTAAGAGTCACCGAACCAAATTAGGCCAAGGAGAAACTCACTGAGATATTCTGGTATCAACTCATCACAGCTGTCCATAATGAACACACGACGGACATAGAGTTTGATGTTATTCTTTTTCTTTTTGTTCTCAAAGAGGTCAAACGGAGCTCGACGAGGGATGAATAGCAGTGCCCTGAATTCCAACTGACCTTCAACAGAGAAGTGCTGAAAGGAAATCCCAAGATAAGCACATTAGTGTATTTCAGGATAACAATGCCTTTTAGCACCAAACTGGAACAAGTATCTTCCCTAAGCACTAGGGAAAGAGTTGACACTACAGGCAGCTTTGGAGAAAACTAAGCCCTGATGTCCTAAATGAATCTACAATAGGACTAGCTGTGTTTTATCCTTCGGGAAATGAGAATATAGCCCCACTAACAAGAATCGTAGATGTGTAAGGCTGCTTGGGCACTGCCCAGATTTCTATCAGTAGAGAAAGCGAGATTAGGAAGGGTGGCATGTCTCCACCGTGGCAGGGTCATCAGTTAAGTGAACTAATGTGGCTCGATGGCTTTCATCCCAGTTTTCAGCTACCAACCAGTTTGGCAAGTTGTGTGTATTTACTACATACTAACGCCCTTCCACCTACTCCTCTCCTCTCCAGCTGAGCTAACATGCAGGGATTCTTTCTCACCTTGACTGCCAAGTGGTCTTCCCAGTCATTGGTGAGGCTCTTGTAGAATTCTCCATACTCCTCCTGGGTAATGTCATCAGGATTTCTGGTCCAAATGGGCTTGGTCTTGTTTAGCTCTTCCTGATCTATGTACTTTTCCTTAATCTTCTTGGTTTTCTTCTTCTTGTCCTTCCCACTGTCCTCCTCATCTGAGCCCACATCTTCAATCTTGGGCTTTTCCTCATCATCTTTATCTTCCTCTTCTTTCTCACCTTTTTCTTCCTCTGCCTCATCATCACTGATTTCCTTCTCTCGTTCCTTCTCCAACTAAAGTCCCAAAAAACAACGGTCAGTTGGGGAGTACAGAACACCAAGAAAAGCCAAAGTCAGGGACCATGAGAGTCCCCAGAAGTGGAGCCTTCCAGCATATGAGAGTAACAGGGCTGAAGTTCATACTCACATAGAGAGTGATGGGGTAGCCTATGAACTGCGAATGCTTCTTCACCACTTCCTTGACCCGCCTCTCTTCCAAGTATTCTGTCTGGTCTTCTTTAAGGTGGAGGATCACTTTGGTACCCCTGCCAATGGGCTCACCTAGAAAATCATCACTAGAGTTTTAGGTGGTAAAACTATAAGCAAAAGTACAATGAAATAACTGCTTTACAGACAGGGTGCTCAAAAAAACTTTTTGAGTCAGAGTTGCAGTCTGTCGCCCAGGCTAGAGTGCTGTGGCACTACTGCAGCCTCGACCTGCTGGGGTCACTCACAATCCTTCCACCTCAGTCTTCTAGGTAGTAGCGGGAACTACAGGTACCTGCTACCATGCCCAGCTAATTTTTATAATAAAGACAAGCTCTCACTATGTTACCCAGGTTGGTCTCAAACTCCTGGGCTCAGGCAAGTCCCTAGCCTCTGCTTCCCAAAGTGCTGGGATTACAGGCATAAGCCACAGACCCAGCTTCAAAATTCCTACTACGGGTTCCCCCGGAGGATTCTAACCCAGCCACCTTCTAACAGAAGGCCAACTTACCATGGTCAGCGCGAACAGTGAAGGAACCCCCGGCAGAAGACTCCCAGGCATACTGTTCATCATCATTGTGCTTTGTGATCACAACCACTTTCTCTGCCACCAGGTAGGCAGAATAAAAGCCAACACCAAACTGCCCAATCATGGAGATGTCTGCACCAGCCTGCCAACAAGTATTTCAAAAAGTCAAACACAAGTTGTGAAGCAGCAAGCCAAAGAACACTGACGAGTGTGCCTAGCCCAACTGCCACATACCTGAAGAGCCTCCATAAAAGCTTTAGTACCAGATTTGGCAATAGTTCCCAAATTGTTTATGAGGTCAGCCTTGGTCATGCCAATGCCCGTGTCCACCAAAGTCAAAGTGCGCTCCTGAGGGTTGGGGATGATGTCAATTTTCAGCTCTTTGCCACTGTCCAACTTGGAAGGGTCTGTCAGGCTCTCATAACGAATCTTGTCCAGGGCCTAAAAATAGTACAAATACCACCTTAGTTTTCCTTTCTTAAAGCCCCCTCTTCACAAAGAAAATCTTGTACTGTGCTCTCAAATAGCCTCAATTCTGATTACCCCGTAACTTGAAACTTGAGACCAAGTCAGATAACATTATCCCACTTGCCCTGGATATATAGTCCCTTCCCCCATTTAAGCTCAAGATGGCCACCTAGAGTAAGGCAAATCTTGTTGTATTAGCTGCTGGTTTATTCTCCTTGACAGTAGCCCCCACCAAATGCCAAACCACTCCTTGTCCTTCCTTCTAGAGTGCTCAGAAACACCAACCGAGAAAACCAGAGCACTCACGTCAGAAGCATTAGAGATCAACTCCCGGAGGAAAATTTCCTTGTTAGAGTAGAAGGTATTGATGATGAGAGACATGAGCTGGGCAATTTCCGCCTGAAAGGCAAAAGTCTCCACCTCCTCCTCTCCATGGTGCACTTCCTCAGGCATCTAAAATAAAAATGGTCAATAACTACAAAGGAACACATGACCCTGTAATTAATTACTTTAAAGTTCATAGCCATTTTAATTGTTAAGCCCTTAAAGATGGAGTTCAAACTGCTCTGAGCAGTTGGGGGGTGATCTGCCTTCTGGCCCTTCCTGAGAAACAAAGTTTTTTCTTAAAAAGAAAAATCTCAGGCTACACTAACTGGGAAGCCAATTAAAAAGCAAAAATCTAGATCATTCTTCATTCCAATATTGTCAGGTTTCTTCGACGGGACCTTAGCACCAGCAAGCAGCCTCTGCATCACCTGGTAGATTTAGAAACTCAGAAAGCTGGTCCCAACCCAGTTATCTAGGAACAGCAGCCCCAAGTAATCCCTACAAACCTTTAAATGAGAAAAGCCACTCACTACACTTACTTTTCGATTAGAGGGAGGACAAAGTGAGCAATTTAACACAAAAACGGCAGTAGTTTTCAACTCTTCCCTCTTAGATGTATATACATACTATGTCGAGCCTAGGGTCGGGACTGCTGCCCCAGAAGGCAGATCAAAATAATCCAAGGAAAAGAGACAACTAAATCAAACACGGAATCGATAAAGCAAAAGCTCCACCATGAACCCTCACGGACAGACAAGTACAGTATAGGACCCAAGCCAACACGGGTTAAGATGGTGGCCGTAGCCGCCAGACCGACCCTCGTCACTGCCGGACTTGCGTCCACGCGAGGAGGGGGCGCAGTCGTGCACCCTCCCCTCGCCCCAGCATCCGGGCACTGGGGCGGGGCGCCAGGATCGATCCAGAAGCTTCCAGAACAATCCCAGCTGTCGAGGAGGGGGAGGGAGCCCATGAATCTCAGAGCCTGCTCCTCCCCTCCTCTGCAGGAAAAATCTGGAAAGAGGAAGCCCCAAGAGCAGGAGACCGAAAACGTTCCTTCCTCGCCGCAGTCCCCCACAGAACAAAAGCACCCAAAGGGACCTGAGAAACGCGTCCCACAGGAAAGGTGGCAAAACCAGAGCCGCTGGGCCGTGCTGAGTCACTCAAGCGCGCGCTCCCCACCCCCCGCGGACCCTCCGGCGCCCCGTAGCCGCGTCCGGAAGTGGAGAGGAAAACATGGCAGCGTCCCGGGCCGGCGCGGCCACCACGTGCGGCTGCCCACTGCCCCAGCCCCGCCGCCCGCCGCGTCGGGCTCGTCGCCGCCCGGAGAAAGCCCCGCCGCCCAAGCACACCAGGGAGGACCGAAAAAAGGCTTAAGAGCCTTCACCGCCCGGAGAAACATTCTGGAGTCTTACCCCACAGGCCACCCCACAACGGGGCCTTCGAGAGCACAGAGAACAAAAGCAGCTCGAAAGCGCACTCGAGAGAGACATTAACCCAGAAGGGGAACGGCGTTACCTTGGAAATGAAGGGCCGCAAGCACTAGAGAGCGGGGAGGCCGGGGCCGTCCGAAACGCACACACCGCCGTGCGACGCGGGAGTGACTCGAGAGAGCTACTGCGCGCCCCCAGTTGCTCTAAATAAGGCGAAGCACCGCACAGTCGCCCTCTCCCCGGATCCCTCCGCCTTAAAGGAGGATGCCTGTCAACCCCGCACCTGTCGCCGCCCGCCCACCTTGACGTCATGATCCGAAATAGGAGAGAAGGCGGGCAAGAGCCCAAGCATCCGGCTTCAGTCTCAGTTTCGAGACCCACTGCGGATCCTTTCACGCTCGTTTGCGGGTGTTCACAGCCCCTTATCCGTACGTCCAGGACGTGACGTGACCCCATCAGGATTGAGGACTGGAAGTGCTCATACGACGTGCGCGGTCGACCTGCCCTCCCCCAAAATCTGTGAAGCCGGCGCCCCCATACTCAAGAGGTCAGGGCTCGGAGGACAGCTAGAAAGACCTGGTCCCTTTCCTAGAATCTACCCTGCACAACTCGCATCCCGACAAAGGGACGGCGTGGAAGTCGGTACCCAACCCTGGGCATCCCCAGATCCCGACGCTGCGGGCAGCCGAGGAAGGGCCGGCGGCTCGCCGCGGGGCGTAGCTCCGCCTGGGGGGAAGGGCGCCGGCCGGGACTGACGGGGGACTCTTTGCCGGCGCGCGGCGGAAGGAGAGGAGGCGGCGGTACTGCGGTCTTCCAGCAGTTTCCAGGCCTGTCTGGGCGGCCCCGCCTCCGTCCTTCCCCTCCCCCTCGAGACTCCGCCTCTCCCGCTGCGGCCCTGGCGGTGATTTTGCAGCCACTCCGCCTGTCGCCGGGATCTGCCCGGTCCTAGGTGCTTTGTGGGCTGGCCGGATTCCATTTACTGTGGGCAGCCGCGGGGACCCTCTTCCCCCCTCGCCTGGCCCTGAGAGCCTGGCACTGCCTCGGGGACGGGAGGGAGTGTAGAGGGAGGGATCGGCTGACCCCCCCCTCCCCATCAGTCACACCACACACGCGCGGCTAGGGCGGCTCCGCAGGCTCCTCCTGCAAATCGAGACTGGGGGATCCTCCCCAGCCTCTGGCCGCGCACGTACACAAAGTACAGGGACATGCGCCCTCCCTACGCGGGCACATCTATCCGTTTCTCAAGCTGGTTTCCTTTTTCTCTCCCTCTTCCCTCCAGCAGCTGCTTGGACCTGGGGAGGGGAGGGTCTCCAGGGACCACAGGGCCGCAGCGGTCTTGGAAGCCGCATGAAGAGCGGCTTGCTCCAGGCGGCCAGAACCAAGTTGTTCCCCTTCAACCTTGGCGCCAAGGTCCCTAGGCATGCCCCTGGCCAGTGAGCTGCGGACCACTGTGTCTGGCCTGGTTCTGGTCCTTTGATTGCCTGCCTATCCTCCACCTGGCAAGCTGCCCGTGACTTTTCTAGGCCTCGTCTAAAAGCCTGCTGTACCTATAGCCCCCAGCGGAGAGAATGGCCACTCCCTGTTCTGGGTCCTGTGGATGTCCGTTTAGTCCCTTCCTGGCTGGCTCACCCCTGGAATGCTTAGGGAGGATTTTCTCACGGCCACCCACACCGTCCTCCCCCACCGACCCTGGTCACCCAGTCTACCCGCCTCAACAAGCTTTATGTGTTAAATACCAAAAACACGAAGTCTCTTGCTTTCCTCTTCCTTGCCCTCTGGCTACATCGCCATCCCTGCCATTTACCACCCCAATGTTAATCTCCTTATCCTTCTCCCTTCTGTTGTGGGCTTTGGCTAAGGGAAGCCAAGGAGTGTGGAAATGGGTATTGGGTGTTGCTGCCAGGAAGGCTCCAGCATGCTCATTCCTGGTTAAAATCTCAAAAGTAGCATCCCTTAACACACCCTCTCCATCTGAGCTGAAGGGGCCTAGCTCACTAAAAATCTGCTTCTGGCCAGGCACGGTGGCTCACGTCTACAATCCCAGCACTTTGGGAGGCCGAGGTGAGAGGATTGCCTGAGTCCAGGGGTTCAAGACCAGCCTGGGCAACTTGGTGAGACA